CTAATACTGACAGATAATGAAAAGTTCCTACCTTCTTGACTAATATGGATAGGAACTATACTCTCATTCTGGTGTAGATATACAGTAAAGGAACTTTGGTGCTGTATTATGGCTACAGCAGGCACAATGATAATACACAGTGCTGATTTAATCATGATACAGCACCAAAGTTCCTTGATTATTACGCCACAATGAGAATTTAGTTCCTATATCCATATATAAGCCAAGGAAATAACAGGCACAATGATATTACACAGCACTTTTGCAGAGTAATCTAGCAGCGGACTATTTTCTGGCATTTCATAATATCATTGTGCCTGCTGTAGCCATGATACAGCAAAAAAGTTCCTTGATTATAACGCCTGAATGAGAGTTTAGTTCCTATAGCCATATATAAACCTAGGAAATGACAGGCACAATGATATTAAACAGCGCTGTTGTCTTGTAATCTAGCAGTGGACTATTTTCTGGCACTGCATTATATCATTGCGCCTGCTGTAGCCATGACACAGTAGCAGAGTTCCTTGATCATTACGCCAAATGAATGTTTAGTTCCTGTAGCCATATATAAACCTAGGAAACGACAGGCACAATGATATTAAACAGCGCTGTTGTCTTTTAATCTAGCAGTGGACTATTTTCTGGCACTGCATAATATCATTGCGCCTGCTATAGCCATGATACAGCAGCAGAGTTCCTTGATTATTACGCCAGTATGAGAGTTTAGTTCCTATAGCCAAATATAAGCCTAGAAAATAACAGGCACAATGATATTACACAGCTTTTTTGCCGAGTAACCTAACAGTGGAATATTTTCTGGCACTTCATAATATCATTGTGCCTGCTGTAGCCATGATACAGCAAAAAAGTTCCTTGATTATTACGCCTGAATGAGAGTTTAGTTCCTATAGCCATATATAAACCTAGAAAATAACAGATACAGTGATATTACACAGCACTGTTGCCTTGTAACCTAACAGAGGGCTATTTGTCTGGCACTGCATAATATTGTGCCCGCTGTAGCCATGATACAGCAGCAGAGTTCCTTGCTTATTACGCCAAATGAGTGTTTAGTTCCTACAGCCATAAATAAACCTAGGAAATGACCGGCACAATGATATTACACAGCTTTTTTGCCGAGTAACCTAACAGTGGACTATTTTCTGGCACTGCATAATATCATTGCGCCTGCTGTAGCCATGATACCGCAGCAGAGTTCCTTGATTATTACGCCAGTATGAGTGTTTAGTTCCTATAGCCATATATAAGCCTAGAAAATAACAGGCACAATGATATTACACAGTGCTGTTGCCTTGTAACCTAACAGAGGGCTATTTTTCTGGCACTTCATAATATCATTGTGCCTGCTGTAGCCATGATACAGCAGCAAACTTCCTTGATTATTACGCCAGATTGAGATTTTAGTTCCTATAGCCATGTATAAGCCTAGAAAATGACAACTTTACATTTTCTGCCAGCTTAGTACACGATGTAACTACAGAAGAGTCTAACTTTATATTGGAAAATTGTCAAAACTTTTTTAGCATTTTTTGAACAAGATGCTAATGGTCTAATCTGATTCAATGACTTATGCTAAGCTAAGCTAAAAGTTCTCCCGCCAGACCTGGAGATCGACTGAATGGATTCAAATATGGTCCAACTCAACTGTTCAACTCTAGGAGAGCCAGATTAACCTACTTAAAAACACACACACACACACACACACACACGCACACACACACACACACACACACACACATATATATATATTGTATTTAAAAGTAATAATAGTAGATTTCTATCTTCTTTAGGCCCAAGTACGCTCTGCTGGACGAGTGCACCAGTGCTGTCAGCATTGATGTAGAGGGTAAAATATTTCAGGCCGCAAAGGATGCTGGGATCTCCTTGTTATCCATCACCCACAGACCCTCTCTCTGGTGAGAAACATACATGAGCTCTTTCTTGAAGAGAAGCTGTAGTTTATTTGAAAAATGAATTATCATATTGTTTTACAATTCGGTTTATTCATCTTTGTTTCCAAGTTTAATAATTCATTCATTCATTTTCCTTCGGCTTAGTCTCTTTTATTCATCAGAGGTCGCCACAGCGGAATGAACCAGCAACTATTCTAGCAAATGTTTGCCCTTCCAGCTGCAACCCAGTACTAGGAAACACCCATACACACTCATTCACACACAAACTCATAGACTGTGGTCAATTTAGTTGATCAGTTCCCCCTTTGCATGTGTGTACTGTGGGGGAGCACCCGGAGGAAACCCACGCCAATGCAGGGAGAACATGCAAACTTCACACAGAAATGCCAACGGACTCAGCCGGGACTCGACCCAGCGACTTTCTTGCTCTGAGGCGACAGTGCTAAGCATTGAGCCACTGTGCCACCCCCCTCAATAACTAAAGTATTAATAACAAAAATAGATTTATATATTTATTTTATTTTGTTGTTTCATTTTGTTTTGTTTTACTTTGCATTTTGCATGTTTTTGCTGTGCTGTTTACGTTTGTTTGTTTTGCGTTTTTTTGTTTTGTTTGTTTTTTGTGTCGCTCTTTTGTGTTTTTCTTTTTTGTTTTACTTTGCATTTTTCTTTGTTTTATATATATTTTTTTTCTTTCTTTTATTTTATTTGCTGTTTACTTTTGGTTGATTTTTATGTTTTTTTTATTGTATTTGCATTTTTTAATATTACATTTAATTTTTTTATTTTGTTTTTCTGTTTTCTTTTTTCTCTTTTGTTTTGGTTTTTATTTGTTGTTGTTGCTCTTTTATTGTTTAAGTAGCTTTTGTTTTGCTTTACTTTTTTATTTTTTGTTGTTGTTTGATTTAGTTTTACTTTGTTTTTTTCTTTGTTTAAATTTTTTTGCTTTGCTGTTTACTTTTGGATGACTTTTATGTTTTTTAATTGTATTTGCATTTTTTAATATTACATTTTATTTTTATTTTGTTTTTCTGTTTTATTTTTTCTCTTTTGTTTTGGTTTTTATTTGTTGTTTTTACTCTTTTATTGTTTAATTAGCTTTTGTTTTGCTTTACTTTTTTTATTTTTTTGTTGTTGTTTGATTTAGTTTTACTTTGCATCTTGCATTGTTTAGATTTTGTTTTTGTCTTACGTTTTTGTTTTTCTGTCTTACCGCTTGTTATTACGCCTCAAATCTAGGGGAAAACAAACAACATGGGCATTATAAACGTAGAAAACAAATGTGTTGGGTTGGTGGATTTCCCAAACAAAACAAAAACTTAACGCAAAAGATTCCCTTCGGTCGACAATCAAACTCAAACACTCAGTTGAGAGTATATGAATAGATTTATTAAAGAAAAATGCAGTAAATATATACGAGCATCTCTTCAGGGTGACCACAGGCCAAAATAACAAACAAAAGAATCTATGAAGTAAACTAACTAAATTACCTATTACTATTTAAAGAAAAATACAGCAAGCGTATCTTTCTCTCTAAACATAAACAAAGTCAAAAGTAATCAAATAAATAGGCAGGCCACCCCTACAAGCTCAAACTCTCAAAATAGGTTAACGTATGTACAATGGTACAAAATAGGGATGGCTGACGTGAATCTGACGTTTCGACACAGTGTCGAGATCCCGAAGCGCAAGTGTTTCGAAACACTGCACCGAAACACCCAAGTCACGTGACCAAAGTGTTTCAAAACACCTGGTCACGTGACTAAAGCGATTCAAAGCATCGATCAGGACCTGGCGAATTTCCATTTCACTCCCAGGGTCTGAAAAGCACCCCTGACCCAAAACAAGACAAATTTATTCACAAAGTGTTTATTCGGATGTTAGACCAATGTTGAAACAAAAACGAGAAAAGAACAAGGCATTACCAACTGGTATTAAAGCATTTCAAAATGGCTTTATCAGCCTGGATTTGACCCTATTATCCCCGCATGGTAGTCAAGAACCCTAGCGCTGCTCTAAATAGATTGAAAGTTTATCCTACAAAGCAGGGTTTAATATCTCAAACTTGCTGAAGCTGTTTCAGTGCAATACATTAAAAAATGACCACTAGGTGTCACCGTAGAGGGGGGTTTCGAAACGTTTCGAAGCTTAAACACATCTGCTTCGACTGTTTCAGTGTTTCATGAAGCCTCGCTTTGCCCACCACTACTTTCTCCCTAAACATAAACATAGTCAATCAAATAAATAGGCAGGCCACCCCTACAAGCTCAAACTCTCAAAGTAGGTTAACGTATGAACAATGGTACAAAACTGATTGTTGGTCGTCGGCCGGAGGGGCAAGGGAAATCCAGGAGCTCCACTCCCAGCACCGAAAGCAGCACAAATGAGCTCCCCGAGAGGCCTCCGAGACTAGCAGCCAATCAGAACACAGGATCACGCCGGTATGGGAGCCTATGGGATAACAGAAAAACAACAAGAAGGCGGGACAACGTAAAAGACATGCAATTCGCAATAATAAATAAATAAATAAACTTCAGTCGTAACACACACGTCTCATGCGCGTTTAAAACAGACATTTTTGTAATTTTTAAATGATTAACTCTTGGGTTTATGGGTTTGTGTTACAACAGATTTGTGCACTTTAGCAAAACTTCAAAATAAAAGTCACCATCCAACGCCATTACACAGCTCCAATTTAAAACTACCCCGACTGTGTTCGTCAGACAGTAAAGAAAGTCATATACAGCGAGTATGACCTGAAGGAGGGAAAATTATTCAATAATTTCTGAGTGAACTATTCCTTTAAATCAACATATCTACCTGAAAACAGAGGAATAGTTATTTGCATAAATTTAAATATACTTGATGAAGCATTAATGAAGGAATTGAGCTGAATGACTTTTTGTACCAGTTATTATAAAGGCACGGTGGCTCAGTGGTTAGCACTCACAGCAAGAAGGTCACTTGTTCGAGTCCCGACTGTGTCAGTTGGCGTTTCCGTGTGGAGTTTGCATGTTCTCCCCGTGTTGGCGTTGGTTTCCTCCCCCCACAGTCCAAACACGTGCACTATAGGGGAACTGATCAACCAAATTGGCCGCAGTGTATGAGTGTGCATGGGTGTTTCCTAGTACTGGGTTGCTTCTGGAAGGGCATCCGCTGTGTAAAACATATGCTGGAATAGTTGTTGGTTCATTCCGCTGTGGCGACCTCTAATAAATAAGAGACTAAGCCGAAGGAAAATGAATGAGTGAGTTGTAAATATGCAAACTATATATAGGATGTCATCAAATAATGTGGTGTAACCGCGTCCTCAGGAAATACCACACACACCTGCTGCAGTTTGACGGGGAGGGCGGATGGCGGTTCGAGCAGCTGGACACGGCCACGCGACTCTCGCTGACGGAGGAAAAGCAGCGCCTGGAGTCTCAGCTGGCGGGGATCCCCAAGATGCAGCTGAGGCTGAACGAACTGTGTAAGATCTTGGGCGAAGATTCAGTGCTGAAGACGGTGGAACCAAGACCGGACGACGAGGAGGAATGAAGGAAAGCCGGAGAGTATCGCTCTTCAGGAAAACTGTTTTAGGAACGATTTTAAGATTTGATTGAATACGTCACAATTTAATACTAAACTTGTTTTAGTTTGTCAGGAGTTGGAGAAATCATCCCCCTTTTGTTTGTTTGTTTGTTTTTTATTTTCGTTTTGCTGTTTGATTTTGTTTTGCTTAGAATTTTTGTTTATTTTTTATTTTATTTCGGGTTTTTTTTCTTTCCTGCTCTGGTTTGCTCTGTTTTCGTTTTGTTTTTCTTTTCTTTTTGTTCACCTTTTTATCTTGTTGTTTAGTTTTCTTGCACATTTTTGCTTCGCTGTTTTGCTTTGTAGATTTTGTCTTTATCGTTGTTTTTGCGTTGATCTTTCGTTGTTTTTGGGTGCTTTCACACCTGCGTTATTTAGTTGGGTTTAATCGCACTAGAGTTGGTTTTCCCTCTTGGTTTGTTTTGGGCAGGTGTGAATGCAGCCATCGTCGGGTGCGCACCAAAAAGAGCGTACCGAGACCTGCTTGAACCCTGCAGCGGTTCGTTTGTGGTGAGAATATAATCCGAACTAAACCGCAAAAAGTACTGCACCTTTTGGACTAATCCAGCTGCCGTAGGCCGATGCGCTGTGCATTATGGGATATGGAGGATAAGTATTGGTTGACAGCGCTTTACCAACAGAGAGAGAGGGGAAAACGTTACCTGTTGGATTGTTGGTAATATTTCCGCAAGATGAGCATGTCGCAGTTTAGCTAAATTGATTCACGCCTCCTCCTGAAGTGACGTGTGATACATTAAACACTGTTTCCCAGCCCCGGCTGCACTTCATTCTCGAAATGTATAGTTTGTCTATTACAGGGATACAATCAGCCAGCGCAGTCGTTGCTCCATGGTGAATTGTTGTTGACATGTTGTGTCTGCCGGTTTGTTTACGACTCGGAGTTCATTGGCATTTTTCCGCACGTGAATTCTGACCAATCGATGAGCAGTTTATGAAATACGTTCAACAACATCTGGCCAATGAGAGATGTGGATTTTGTCACATGACTGCATTTTGGTTCTTTTGATCTGGTTCATACCAAAGCAATCAGTGTGTTGTGAAAACGACAAAAGACGGCAGAAAATGCAACAATTTTTTTGCCCTTGGTCCGGACCAAATGAACTGGACTACAGATGTGAAAGCACCCTAAATTTGCTTTTGTTTCAGTTCACATTCTTGTTTTGTTTTGCTGCGCTGCTTATTTTTATTTTCGTATTTTCGTTTTTCTCTTGTTCTTTGTGTGTCGTTGTTTGGTTTTGCTTCGCTTTTTGTTTTGTTTTACACTTTTGTTTTTTATTTTGATCTTTCGTTTTGATTTAAGCCGTGGTCAGCCGTGGGCGGGATCAAATAAGATGATTAGACATCGGTAAAACAAATTGCTCTTCATTTCACATATCAGTCCAGAGAGGTCATGTTTTGATCTTTTATTGTCTCACGCAATCACGTGACGTGAAGTCGCAGGTTAGGGTTCACCAAGCTCGAACTTTTGGAACGCAGTGATTGTTTCCTAAACTTGACAGATTGTGTCCTAAACTCGTCGCACAAGCTTGCGTTTCGAGTTTGCATGTTTAACAGGTGTACGAATGGAAGTCTGCGCAGTGGCGCAGTAGGTAGTGCTGTCGCCTCACAGCAAAAAGGTCGCAGGTTTGAGCCTTGGCTGGGTCAGTTGGCGTTTGCACGTTCTCCCTGCGTTCGCGTGGGTTTCCTCCGGGTGCTCCAGTTTCCCCCACAGTCCAAACACACGCGGTACAGGTGATTTATGTTGGCTTTATTGTCCAAAGTGTATGAGTGTGAATGGATGTTTCCCAGAGATGGGTTGCAGCTGGAAGGGCATCCGCTGCGTAAAACATATGATGGATAAGTTGGCGGTAATTCTGTTGTGGCGACCCCAGATTAATAAGGGGACTAAGCCGACAAGAAAATGAACGAATGAATGAACGAACAAAAGTCTACGAAAAGTGCAGTGCGACCAGCTCCAAAGCAGTGGACCAATCAGAAGAACTCGGATGTGGGACAGCTGTGACTTTCGACGTGTATGTCTGAGGGAGCTCAGGAGACCGAAACGTTCCATTTAGTAAATCTTTGAGCAAGCATTGTGTCTAGTTTGCCATGTTCGCATGTATAAGAATGGAAGTCAATGGGGCGAAAAGTCCACCCAGCAGGCACACGACGTCATAAGACGTTAATATTAGGTTAGATTTAGGTCGTGACGTCAGGTGACCAAAACTCAACATCTAGCCAGCATCTAAAGACGTTGTTTTGACATTTAATGACGTTAATATTTGGTTGATTTTAGGTTGTGTTGGAAAGTGGCCAAAACGGTTATGTGATGATTATCACCGAGAGGATCTGCGTTTGTGAAATCGTTAATCTGAGGTAATCAGTCCACCTTTATTACTGTGTTATTTCATACAAAGTGTGAAGCTGCCTGGTTGGTTCCTGTCTCATGGCTCGTGGTTTGCTCGCTGCACTCTGAAATGTTTGATTTTGTTCAACTTGTGGCGCCTGGAATACGTGAGTGTAGCATACCGCATGTGTATTCCTTCCTATATGTGCGCTAAACCTGCGCGTCTCCATTTGAAATAACGAAACTGAGCGCTCAAAAGACGCTCTATCTGAAGGTCCCCTTTTGTTGACTCGCAATATCAGACCTGTGCATCGCGAGGCTTGAATAAAAAAAAAATGAAATAAATACTTCACGCAGGCTGATCAAAGACGTCAAGAGGGCTGCAAAATGCCCAGGTATGTCTTAAATCAACATTATGTTGACGTCAAATGCTGACATTTATCCGTCAGATATGGCAGCCAAAATCCAGTGTCTGATAGACGTCATAGTGGCAACGTCCACACAACATCAAGCTGTGACATCATTAGACGTTGATATTTGGTTGATTTTAGGTTGCGTTGGAAAGTAACCCAAGTCCAACGTCGAGTCAACATCCTAAACCAACGTCATATTGACGTCAAATACTGATATTTGTTCATCAGGTATGGCAACCAAAATCCAACATCTGATAGACGTCATAGTGGTAACATCCACACAACATCAAGCTGTAACATGATTAGACGTTGATATTTGGTTGATTTTAGGTTGTGTTAGAAAGTGACCAAAATCCAACATGTTCGACATTGGGTTCTGACGTCAACGCGATTTAAATTTCCACCCGAATTTCAACGTGCTTACGGCATTGGGGTCATGTTGACGTCCTGTGCCTGCTGGAGCAGTGCGACCATGGCTTTAATTAGTTTTTAAATTTTATTTTTAGTGATGTCGTTTTTATTTTTGTATTATTTTTTCTTGTTTTGTTGCTGTTTGGTTTTGTTTTTAAGTTTTTTGCTTCGTTTTTTTATTTTGCGTTTCATTGGTTTTGCTATTTTGATTTACTCTGCGTTTTGTTTTGTTTCGGATATGCTGCTTATTTTGTCTGCACTTTGTTTTTATTTTTAGTGATGAAGTTTTTTTTGCTTTATTTTGTTCTTGTTGTGTTGCTGTTTGCTTTGTTGTTACTTTTTTATTTTGCGTTTTATTTGTTTTGCTGTTTCGATTTACTCTGCGTTTTCTTTTTGTTCTATTTTGTTTTGTTTTGTTCTATTTTGTTTTGTTTTATTTATTTTATTTTATTTAGTTTTTTTTTTTTGTCTTGCCTTGTTTTGTTTTGTTTTGTTTTGACCATGCTGCTTGTTTTTTTGGCAGTTTGTTTTTATTGTAATTATTATTTTTTTGTTTAGTTTTTCTTTTCGGTTTATTATTATTATTATTATTACTATTTGCTCTCCTTAAATTGCTGTTTGTTTTCGTTTAGCTTTTTTGTTTTAGTGTTTCATTTGTTTTGCTTTGTTGTTTTTCTTTGCGTTTTTTTTTTTTGTTTTAACTTCTGCTTTGCTGTTTAGATTCACTTTTACGTTTTGTTTTGCTTTTTGTAACCACTTTTTTGTGTTGCTCTTTCATTGTTTCGTTTTGCTTTCTTTTATTTTGCTTTACATTTTTTTTTTTTTTTTGGCTCTTTGTTTTCATTTCTTGTTATTATTATTTCGTAATCGAGTTTTTCTTTTTGGTTTCTTTATATTATTTGCTCTTGTTATGTTTCTGTTTTGTTTTACTTTTTGTTTTAGTTTTTTTATTTGTGTTTCGTTTGTGTTACTTTTTATGTTTTGTTTTTGCTTTTTTTTGTTTGTTGTATTTTCGAGTTGTTCTTTCATTAATTTACTTCGCTTTTATTTTGCTTTCCATGCATTTTTGTTCTGTTTTCGCTATACTTTTTCCTATTTTATTTTTCTTAATTAATATAACCTTTTTCGGCACTTTATTGAACCATTTACCCCCAAAAATCAGGTCTATAAATCATACTGTCAATCAGTCTTGAATCATGCCTTTTTCCTTTCCTTAATTTAGTTGTTCTTACTTCTGACTAATTCCCTCCATATACGAAAAACAACATGTACTATTCTGCGGTAAGAAGAATTGTGATCTTCTATATGTGCATCACAATCATGTAGCTTTTAAACAATCAATCAACCACTAAAGGCGATCGACTGGGAACATGGGTCACCATGTGAGTCAGCTGGAGAGTGTAAGACAGCAGCTTTCTGCTTTTCTGAACAAACACAATATGCTGGAAACACACGCTGAGGGCGAGGGCACAGCAGGAGGTTCTCTTGAACCCACATTGAGCTGACAAACGCACAGAGAATGTGAGATTCTGGGACTGAACCAGAGACGTGTTATGTATTTGTTTCTCAGTTACTCTTCAGGTTTTGTTTGTGTGTTTATTTTGAGGTGTCTCTTCATTCAGACGGATACTGTGAAGTTTGTCTAACAGCTGTTGCTTTTATTATTATGTTCTCATCTTAGGATCAAATGCAGACAATTAAATCTAAAGTTCATTCAGATGTTAAAGATTTAGTTCAACTTTTTTTTAGTTTTAATCAATCATGCCAGAGATGTAATACCTTTTTGATACGTTATTATTATTAACTATACTGACCTATGATGAAGAGTAGTTTACTATGAATCGGAGGATAACACCACTCAGTTTTAAAAAAACAGCTACTGAACAAACACAATGGACTTGCACTTGTTTGTATTCCTCCTCGCCTGTATGCTAGGACGTTTTTACACCGACGGGAGTATTTTTGTTCTTTAA